GCAGTGGAAATGAAGAAATGGATGAATTTGAAAGACATTTCTGAGAAGGTAGAATTAACAAGACTTGGTGAATAAGAAACAATGTAGAAGCATAACGGAGGAGAAGTTGCTTCTTTCTGTTAAAGTAAAAAGAAAACTTCAGAGTGGAGGTTTATTCGTTTTAAATGCATTAATTGTGCACTTAATTACAAGTGTTGGAGATTGATGGAAAACATAGTTTCTGACTTGAAGGAGTTTCACAGGAAAGATAAACAATGGGTGTATAGTATGACAGTAACTATTATAGAGATGTGCCCATGTTGCTGTGTAAGCACTGAGGTGATTTCTAACTATGCCTAAGGGTAGGGGCTGGGATTAAAGAAAACATCCCAGAAGACATGAACCCTGAGCTATGTCTTGAAAGATTAAAGTTTAACATAACTGAGGGTAAAGAATTAGAAGGCATAGCATATTCAAAAGCTAAAGAGCACACTTTTGTGTGCTTTGCATGCACACACATGTATATGTATGTTTGTTTGTGGAAGGATTGGGGAGGAGGCAAAGGGAATAACAAGATGAAGGTCAGCCTGATACTTAGAAGTTTCCCTTTACAAGATAGAGAGGAGTGATTGAAGGCTTAAATAGGGAAAGGACATGACCAGATTTGTCAAAAGAGCTCGTTCTGGTGATACTGTGAATGGTAACTTGAAGGTAACAAATCTGGTGGCAGGTAGCTCGCATTTGGAGGCACTTGCAGTATCCAGGTGAGAACTGATAAGGACCTAAACTATAAATCATGGGAATGAAGAAGAAATAGGAACACACCATGCAGCATTTAAGGGAGTGGAGAACATTCCATTGAAGCAACAGGCTTCAAAAAAGCATGGAGGCCTGAAAAGGCACCTTGTGGGGAGATTAGCAATGTGCACGTTATAGCTAGGCCATACAGGGAAAAGGTAGGATCGAAAATTGAAAAATAGATTGGGGGCTGATTGTAAAGAGCTTGGAACTGATCTTAACATCAAGAAATCATTGTTTTTAAATACAGAGTAATGTAATTGGAACTATAGAAAGATAATAGGTAATGTTGGGTGCCATCACACTTAAAAGCACTGCAAAGATACTAATACATTGAGTCCTCATGGTAAGCCTACTAGATGTATACCATTACTATCTCCATTCTGTAGACAGGGTAACTGGCACAAGGGAAATAAGAACTTGCCCATGGCCCACTGTGGGAATGCCTAATAAGCTATAGAGCCAAGATTCAGACCCAGGCGGTCTGACTCCAGGACTCTTAACTTCACACACTTCCCTCGTGGCTGGTGTTTCTCAACCACAGGTGCATATTAGAACTACATGTAGCAGTTGCCTGGATTGACTGAATCAGATGTCTAAAGAATGATTTTTTTTTTTTTTACTGTGTTTTGCAAAAGCTACACAAGTAATTCTATTGTACTTTGTTCATGGTTGAGTACGATAGGGCTCCTAGTTAGGAAGTTATGACAGTAGTTCAGGCAGGAGAGGATGAGGGCTCAAACTAAAGCAGTCTGTAGGAGGGAAAAAGTGTCAACAGATTTAGAAACTTAAGGGGTAGAATTGGAGGTATTCATGAAGTAGAAATGCAGTATTTTCCTAGAGGTGTGACCCTCACCCAGGAAAGGGAGTAGAGGACCATACATTGAGTTGTGGATTATCCTCTCTCAGCTAGATTCATTTCTAACATACGTTTATGGAGACTTGGGGAAAGGGGGCTTAATCATTTTCAGAAGTGGTATGTGTAGAGGATTATGATTGAACCCAGAACTGTTATCCTGGTGTACACTTTCATGCTTATACTATTGTCTGTCTTCTGTACCCCAGGTCCCTCAAGGTGTCCAGGCTGAAACGGGGGGGTAATGACAGTGCGAGCTCTTGATGGTGTGAGACCACCCCAGAGCCAGGAAATGGCTACAGCCTTGGAACTAGAGGACCAGGATCTTTGGGAAGAAGAGGGAATTCTGATGGTGAAACTGGAAGATGATTTCACCTGTAGACCAGAGTCAGTCTTACAGAGGGATGACCCTGTGCTGGAGACTTCCCACCAGAACTTCCGACGATTTCGCTACCAGGAAGCAGCAAGCCCTCGAGAAGCTCTCATCAGACTCCGAGAACTTTGTCATCAGTGGCTGAGGCCAGAGAGGCGGACAAAGGAGCAGATCCTCGAGCTGCTTGTGCTGGAACAATTTCTTACTGTCCTGCCTGGAGAACTGCAGAGCTGGGTGCGGGGCCAAAGGCCAGAAAGTGGCGAAGAGGCAGTGACGCTGGTGGAGGGTTTGCAGAAACAACCCAGGAGACCAAGGCGGTGGGTGAGGAGGGGGAGTCCTGATCTGTGTGATGTGGAGGGGGACTATTTGCTGGAAGGCTGGATTTGGCGGAGAGGGCTTACAAGACCCCCATAAATTATCTTTTCAATGTAATGGGCTCTGCCCTTGGGTTGCTCCTAGGTCCATGAGCCCCATGGGTCAGGGTTGTGTGTGTGTGAGTGTGACTTCCTGGTTTTGGAAACACCTGCCTCAGGATCATCAGGGACCTCAGGCATCCAAGGGTCATGGCTCTGGTCTTGCCACCTTTGCATGTTGAGCCTTGGGTTCCTGGAGAGGAGAATGTGTGACTTCCTCAAAGGTTTTCACAGACCCTCAGTCACAGATTCCCCCTTCCAGGATGGTAAGCTAGGGAGGCAGGCAGCAAGGACTGTGGCGGGCGGGAAAAGTGGAGGCGGAAGGATGGTACCTCCGAGTCCTGGGTGACAGGGCAAGGGCTGAGGGAGGTGAGAAAGTGGTGCAGTACTGCATGTCCCCTGCCTTGTCCTGGTGAAGGTAACCTTCAGCTCCTCTTTGCATGCCCTAGTGGAACTGGAGTTTCCGCTCCTCATCTAGGTCTCTCTGGGAGTTTTTCTCTAGGCAGCTTCTCCTAAAATAAGCCCTGATGACAACCAGGAATTTCCCCCCGACTCCATGGTGACTGGAATTGGAATTATTCCCAGGTGACTGTCCATGTTCACGGCCAGGAGGTCCTGTCAGAGGAGACAGTACATCTAGGAGCAGAGCCTGAGTCACCTAGTGAGCTGCAGGATCCTGCGCAGACCTTGACCCCTGAACAGTCCCATGAGGAAGCCACACAGAGCCCAGATCTGGGGGCACCAGCAGAACAAAGCCTGTGCCAGGAAGAGGAGCTCCAGCCGCTGCAGGAGAGCGGTGGGAAACCTCGGCAGGAAGTGGGGATTGTGGTAGAGTGCGGGCAAGGAGGGGGTGTTTCTCCCATACCAAGGTAGACAGTAATGGGAAGAAATCACAGGACCCAGGATGTCAAAAGGAGATGGTCCCAGTTAGAGTCCCCATAAACAGTTCCAAGCTGAGACAGTGATATTCTTGGTGGTTCTCTTGGCATTCTGATGGTCTTATGGCGGGGGGGGGGCTGGGATGACGTAAGCTGCCCTTAGGCCGGTTTCTTGATTCCCATGGTAGGGAGGATGGGGCCATCTTCCTACCAAAGATGATGGGCAATGCTCAGCTTTTGCCAGTTACCAGGGTGTAGTACATATTGCTGATCTTTACCATCTTTTCTTCTTAGAGGTTCCAATGCCCCAGGACCCAGACCTTCCTGCAGAAAGGAGCTCTGGAGACCCAGAGATGGTTGCACTTCTTACTGCTCTATCACAGGTACACCCTAGTTCCCTCTACACCACAGAGAATTTATCTGAAGAACCACTGGGCATTAGCCATATGCTAAACAGGTCAAGCAGGATGCAAATATACATTCTTCTTTTGCCAATTGTTAAGTTCTCAGTTCTGTAGGTTCCTGGAAGGGGAAGAAATAATAAGATAAATTATAATAGTCTCCATTGGATCTGCAAGCCCCAAAACTTCTATTTGCCATTTACCAGAAGGACTGACAAAATGGGATTATTTTATAACACTCCAGTACAACTTCAAAGTTGTTAAATGAGGATATTTTTGTTTTTGTTTTTTTTTTAGGGATAAATTTGATATTCATTTGTAAGAATGACTGACATGACATTTATGGAGTATTCATCATGTTCAAAGCCCTGAAACTAAGCTACGTGGCTGGAGAAAAAGCTATGCGTTTCTAGATTGTAGTCTAGTGTGGGGAAAAAGTCCTGTTTTGCTTTAGAATATAAATGATAAAGGTGATTAGGGTCAGTTAGGGAAAGTTCCAAGAAAAGATAAATTGTTGCAGAAATGTAGGTAGCATTAAAGCATCAAATAGGGAGTTGAATGATGACGTAAGACTTTTCTTAAATTTTAAACAACACTTTAAAAGAAGAAGAATGTAAGCTAGACCTGAGGGAAATCAGTGGAGTTGGGGGAAGGGCCAGTGCAAAGCCATGACAAGGGGACAGACAACTTCTTGAGAAGGAGTCCAAGCAGTCCATTTGAGTTCCTTTCATCTCTTGGATGGATTCTGCCTATATTTACAACCTTCATCCAGGGACGAAACATGAGGCTGCCTGAAGCATCACATTTTGATTATATCCTTGTATTGTTTCAGGGACTGGTAACTTTCAAGGATGTGGCCATATGCTTCTCTGAGGATCAGTGGAGTGATCTGGATCCAACACAGAAAGAGTTCTATGGAGAATATGTCTTGGAAGAAGACTGTGGAATTGTGGTCTCTCTGTGTAAGGAATTTCGAGTGTTCTAGAGCATTCTCACCACAGAGATCTTTTTCCTGCTGGTAGATAGTATGCACTGAACTTCTTTCATGCCTACCCCACCAATGAAATTGAGGAATTAGCTGAAGAAGAAGAATGTTATCTTTCAAAGTTAAAGGGAAGAGAAAATGCTTGGAAATGGAAACCTCTAATAAGAAAATAAACTTAGAATATTACAGCTTTAGTGTAGAAATATTCGAGATAAGTGTATGAGTTTTGAAACATGCAGTAACAGTTGGAGATGATCTACTTTCTTGAATAGGGAAAAAGAGGATACGGCCTATAGTGGTATAACTATTGAGTTCCAGGGGAAAGACACAAGAAGGACAAAAGATAGTCAGTGCTTGGCTAAAAGTGCTCAAGCTAAAATGACCAAAGATTTGATCAGCTGACCTGGCTATATATTTGCTCTACAACCTATCAAATCAAAAAGATCTGCTCTAAACACAGGCAATTGTTGAGCCAATTGTGATGTACTGTTTTCCCTCTCTTGAGCAGCATTTCCAATCCCTAGACCTGATGAGATCTCCCAAGTTAGAGAGGAAGAGCCTTGGGTCCCAGATATACAAGAGCCTCAGGAGACTCAAGAGCCAGAAATCCTGAGTTTTACTTACACAGGTGAGGAATGACAAAGGGATCTTACCACCCTGAGTGGCAGTTCCTCTGGCCAGTGCTTTTCTCTCCCTCTAGGACCCTTCTCTCATTGGTTCTTCTAACATGTCAATGAGTACTGCTGTCGCCCTCTGAAAGCCCAATTCTTCTGTCATTTACTTCTTCACTCCTCCCACCATTTTTTTGAGGGCTATGTATGAAAACTGTTGAAAGGAAAATAAAACAACTAAACTTTTGGAATTGCAGCTATATTATTTACTACATAGTTCATGTAAACCTTTGATCCTCAATCTCTGCATTTGTAAAATGAGAATAGTGATATCTGTCCATGCTAAAGCTTGTTGATAGCATAACACATGAGAAAGTGCCTGGCACATGACAGGCATTCAGTTGACTGGTTATTTCCATATGGGCTTCTCTCTATATGGTCTTGCCCTCCCAAAACTCTTTTTTAAAGTCCGCCCATTGTGCAGAAGTCATTGTTGCCACTTTAATTTCCCGTTTTCTCCTCTCACCCCTTCTACAGGAGATAGGAGTGAAGAAGAAGAAGAGTGTGTTGAGCAGGAAGATCCAAGTTTGGAGGATATACACAGGTCTATTTCAGGAGATCCAGAAATTCACCAGACTCCAGATTGGGAAATTCCCTTTGAGGATAATCCAGGTAGACCTAATGAAAGGAGATTTGGTACAAATATCTCTCAAGTGAATAGTTTAATGAATCTTCAGGAAGCCATACCTGTTCACACCCTGTTAGGGAGACATCATGACTGTCCTGTATGTGGAAAAAGCTTCACTTGTAACTCCCACCTTGTTAGACACCTGAGAACTCACACAGGAGAGAAGCCCTATAAATGTATGGAGTGTGGGAAAAGTTACACGCGGAGCTCACATCTTGCCAGGCACCAAAAGGTTCACAAGATGAGCACTCCTTGTAAATACCCCCTAAACCGTAAGAATTTGGAAGAGACCTCTCCTCTGATCCAGGCTGAGAGAACTGCATCTGTTAAAACTGTTAAGAAACCCTATAGATGTGATGATTGTGGGAAACACTTCCGCTGGACTTCAGACCTTGTCAGGCATCAGAGGACACATACAGGAGAAAAACCCTTTTTCTGTACTATTTGTGGCAAAAGCTTCAGCCAGAAATCTGTGCTAACAACACACCAAAGAATCCACCTTGGAGGCAAACCCTACTTGTGTGGAGAGTGTGGAGAGGACTTCAGTGACCACAGGCGGTATCTGGCACACCGGAAGACACATGCGGCTGAGGAGCTCTATCTCTGCAGCGAGTGCGGGCGCTGCTTCAACCACAGTGCAGCATTTGCCAAGCACCTGAGAGGACATGCATCAGTGAGGCCCTGCCGATGCAATGAATGTGGGAAAAGCTTCAGTCGGAGGGACCACCTCGTCAGGCATCAGAGAACACACACTGGGGAGAAGCCATTCACATGCCCTACCTGTGGAAAAAGCTTCAGCAGAGGGTATCACCTAATCAGGCATCAGAGGACCCACTCAGAAAAGAGGTCCTAGCTAGGTCCCCATGTGAGATCTTCATTCAGCCCTCATCTGAAGGATGTGAGGGGTAGGAAGAGCTCTTTTGTCAGGCTGGGAAGACCTTTTCTAGGGAGTTTCCCTGACCTGCCCAGATCTTACTTCACCTCTTCCCACAGCTAAATAAAAGCCGTGGGTGGAACCTCTCTGCCTTCTTCTACACCTTGAGGAGATGTTTTGCCCAAAGTACAAGCAGAATTGAGGCTTCTCTTTCACAGGAGTGCTCCTGCCTCTACCTCATGGGCATGAAGTAGGAGAACCAGAAGACTTAAGAGGTTATGGTTACTATATTGTCCAAAAAATAGGCTGTTACATATCTTAAAGACTACATAACAGCCTCAAGTTCAAAATGGCCAAGGACAGCCCCTTAGGTTAGGTAAGGGACCAGCCTGAAGGATTCTGTCCTTATTAGGTTCAAATCTTAAAGCACACAGCTCTGAACTCAAGACAGGAGGTTTGCGTCCTGATGGCTTTGCCACGTACTCACAGGATAACTGACAAATCCATCGCTGTCTGATTGACTTCTTACCATGCACTTTCCTTTGATGCTGGGGAGAAATGGGAGAAGTGGACAAAAACCTCAAGGCTGCTTCATATGGACCTTGTCAAGCTGCTCCCTCCCCCTTTGTCAAAATGATACCAGGTGCCAGACACTGCTGGAAAGGAGGACCTAGTCAGAAGCCTCTTTCCTTGTGGGGTTTTTTTTTTTCTCTGTTAAAATATTATTCCTTTAGCCTTCTTACTATTCAGCTAGTCTCTTGGTTTTGTCCCTAGCACTTCTACTACAAGTGACATGTAGCATTTGGGTGGTGAGGGATTCAGCAAAGCATAATTAAATCATGAAATCATTTACATTGCCGCATACGTACAAACCCACCCACCTCTCCCCAGCCCCTTCACATGGGCTTTGTGAGTGAGGGGATTTTGGAACAGTGTCAGCTTATGAAAGCACTATAATAATTACAGAATCATGATTGACTGGGTCACTTCATTTACATGAAGAAAACTGAAGATCAGACTATGGAAAGATGAGAAAAAGCTCTTGCTGGCCAAGACCGTCAAGACTATTCTCCTGATACCCAATCCCTATCAGCCCTGCCTCAGTTCTCTGACACCATGGAAAATTATGAACCCCAGCACCTGGGACCCTGAGGAGTTTACCAGGAGTAAATGGCTTTCATGTATTCGTGTTGTTTTCTTTTTCTTAATGTGATTTCATTTTCATGTAGCTAAGAACTAAATAGTAGTATCTCTGATGGCCCAAGGATCTCTGTTGCCTGTTAAAGGTTCTGTGGAGATGTAGGCTGAATAGTTATGACCCTCGCCTGCTCTAACTGTGGGAGTGGCAAGGACTGGGGAGACGACCCCCATGAATGGAGCACAGGGTACAGGATTAAAGCATGAGAAGGAGACAGCCTTCTGTGCCTGGTTCCTTCTGCTCTAATTCACAATCTACAATCCATTGTGGGCCAGCGTATACCAGAGGTTATGGGGGAGTTAATAAGACCCCAACCCTAACAGCCCAACAAAGAAATTCTTATTTTGGTCAATAATGATATTCTGATGGACTGGTTTGGTTTTAATACTAGTCAACCATTGTCCTGCTGGAAATATGCACATATGAAATAAATAAAGGTAACACAGCCATGTTCCCTGGTTCCTGGGACTTTTCCATCTTACCTATTCCTATTCCAGGACTTCAAGGTCCAGATGCTTCTGAAGGTCATTCATACAAATAGATCTGAAAGTACAGAGTAGTTTTCCATGACGATAGGGAAGGCTTGGAATGGTTAGCTGAACCACAGGTGGAATATATGCACACTGAGATGAGGTCCAAGCCTGGAGTTTGCAGAAGATGCTATCCTGATGGGCAGGCATTTCTCAACCATGTATCTAAAGTCTAAGCACGTTTGTCCTGGGTGAAATGTCATAGTCTCAAAAGATAATTTCTCCTAGCTTGTACTTACCATTTATAGAAGTTGATGACATACTGGAGGTGACAGAACAAATTGACTTTCTATTTTCTGATTTATCTGCATTATTGAAATCAGTTAAAATCTGTCAAGAGAATTCTACCTGAGGGAATGTTTGAGAGGCTGGTCCAGTTTGTTGGAACATCAATGTTTTTCTATTGCTGATAGCCCTGCAAAGTTTCATATGCTGACACTAAATCTCTGGTCCCTTTTGTAAATTAGTGAATTTTCTGAGGTTCCTGGAGGAATATGCTGTCTCCCAAGTCTGAACACAAACAGAACCACAGTTTGCAGGAGGAGCAGGAAAGCAGCAGCACAGCTGAGCATGGGAAGGGAGGGTGGAGCACAGGACATGCATTTAGGAGGGCTCCTCTAGAATCGTGTGGACAGGAGAATCCTAGTAACCTTGATTACTATACTAAATAAAAATTTCTGAGGAAGAAAAAGGCAGGATTTTAAAGGTATTATTTGGAGGAAGCTGTAATCTTGGAAGTTTTGTGTTAATAAGAGTATGAAATTCAGAGGGACAATAGAAGGGTAGTTGACCAGGTAAATTTAGGAATAACTAAGGAATATTTAACCTGTTCACCACCAGGAAATCCCAAAAGAAATAAATGCCAAGAGATAAAGGCAAAATACATGTTTATTATCTGGGATTTAGGCCTCATATTCCGGAGTAGAATGTAGCAAACTCAGGTGAACTTCATGAAGAATTTCATAAATTGGTCTAACATCAGAGTACTAGAACTGAAACCCACTAAAAAATTTGTTGCCTCCTTCTCCAAAGCCCAACTCAAGTAATGGATCTAATGGAAGATACATTGTCTCCACTGAGCAGCAGGATAGTGGTGGAGAAAATGTCACAGTGAGTCCTACAAAGTGGGCAGAGATCATTTGTTCCAGTCCTCTCCAGTCAGGACAGCAGCCTCTAGGTCACCCTGCTACACGACTTCCATAAACTATAGTAGTTCAGTCAAGACTTCCATAAACTATAGTAGTAGGTAACTGAAGGGAAAAGATGATTCAACCCTCTGCAAAATGGTGTGATGACAACCAAATCTCCATATAAATAGAGTGCAAATTTTAGTAATGTGAAAAATGAGATAATATTTAATAAATATTATGCTTCCTGATGCTTTAAAAACGCATTTTGATTATCCAGGCTCTTGGACAGCAATCCAAATGAGAGAGTTAACTGGGTCCCATGATGGCTTTGTAGAACTAAAGCCAGACTGAGAAATAGTAACTGAGGCCATGCTGTGCAGGTTAGTAATTTGGGGCCCTTCCACACCAATATTTTGAAAATTGTTTTACCTCTAGCATCCCCATCAGCTGACCTCAGTATTTCTTCCAGCCACAATAACTCTTGAGAGAAATATACCTATGGTTATTTCCATCTCCTTTTATTTCTAGTGACATTGCCTGACTGACTCACTAATCTAGATTATGAGAAAGACTAAAAGAGCCACAAAGTGGGTGCCCACCCATATGGTCACTAACCTTTTTTGTGGCAAAGTAACCAATACAATGTCCTGAAACTTGAACACATCTTGGATGTGGAATGACTTGATTCACTGTTGAGGAAGTCCTGAGGAGCAGGAAAGGAAAAGTTGAGCTCTATTTAGATACCGTCTTTGTTAATTATCTTTAATAACAAGAAACAAAATGTCAGGGCAGCAACAGTAAACACATCCCATAATGTACAATTCCTGTTCTTATTAGTGCATGTATATGGGGGGGAGAGGTGCACGCATTGTGCCCATGAGCTCACACATGCAGGCACGTTACACACAGGTTTCAGGTAGAAAGAAGAATACAATTCGAATTCTTAAAATGGAGTCAATCAGCACAGACTATTTGGTAATCTATAAAAATAGGGACTCTTCAGAGGAGATTGGGAGCTATAGAATAAAATTGCAGAGTTCAGTCAAGACTTCCACAAACTATAGTAGTAGGTAACTGAAGGGAAAAGATGATTCAACCCTCTGCAAAATGGTGTGATGACAACCAAATCTCCATATAAATAGAGTGCAAATTTTAGTAATGTTCTGTGCAGAATATAACAATGCTGCAGAAAGGCCATCTGCACAGGAATATAATCGAAACTACAGAGTCTGAAAGATTTTCTGTAAGACTACTGCTCTGGCTCTTTTGTCTGTGGTTCCTTCATGAGTTACGCATCTCATGATCTCTTAAATAAGTCCGAGGGACTATTTGTCAGAGAAGATTTCAGGGAGAGGACTACAGCAGTTGGTACTTGAGTTCATTTACGGAACCTCTGCAACAGGTCTACAGAGAAACAGTTCCAAGGCGAAGGAGTTGTGGGGCAGTTGGAGTAATCCATCCAAATAATGAGGAATTAAACCTGAGCCAAGAAACACCAGCACAAAAGCAGAAAACTGGGTCAGCAAAAGGGAGATTTCTGCTTCCTTCATTGCCTCCAACAAGATATTCTGAAAGGCCCTCTATTGAAATACAAATACACTTTTAATAAACTACTAAAATACAGAATAGAAATAGCACGTAATTTGAGATAAGGTGAGCTGAATTTAAGTGTTTTAACATTTGTTAATTGTTCAGGATAAAAGCTGTAAGATATTAGTTAACTTCAACATTGTTACGTATGCACTGTACAGTATCAAGGATACACATTACAAGAAAGAAAATAGAGTAAATAATTTTCTAAATAGTGGAGGAAAAATTGGGAATAAGAATTTAAAATGAAAAAAAGTGAGACAGTAACTCAGATTGTTTAAAGAAAGGTAAAAAAGAGTGGCTCACAGCTCGACTCCGAAGATGGCAGACCGCAGCGTTGGCGTGGGTGGCAGCACATCCCTGAGGGGACTGCGGGAACGGATGGTTGCTGCGGCTCATGCAATCGCTGAAGAAAGAAGGAATCAAAGTGGAGTTAGCCTGATTGTGTCCCAGTCTTCAAATCTGAGATCAGCATGTAAACCAGTAATAGATGGATCTGTACTTAAAAATGATGAAAAGCAAAGATTAGCAAAGGAGCGCAGGGAGGAGAAGAGACAGCAAGATGCCAATAAAGAAATGCGACTACTTGAAAAAGCAAGAAAGGCCAAGATCCAATATGAAAAACAGATGGAAGAAAAACAGCAAAAGCTGAGAGAGCAAAAAGAAAAAGATGAGCAGCGGAGAATATCCGCAGAAGAAAAAAGAAAACAGAAGTTAGAGGAAGAAAGGGAAAGATATAAAGCTGTTCTTTATCGTACTTTGGAACGGAGCAGCCATGCTGAACTTCGGCAAAAACGATGGTCATGGGAAGGCTCTATACTGGCGAATTCTGAGAGCAGATCTGCCAATAAGAGATCTACATCTACTGAAAAACTCGAACAGGGGACTTCTGCGTTCAATAAACAAAGTTTATGTCACCTGCAGGTCTTCAAAATTCTGTTGCCAAAGGAAAAACAGAAAAGAAGAGAAGCTCATCTTTAAATACAAGAGATAGCAAACTACATTCATCTACTGATACAGAACAAGGGGAAGAAAAGCCAGGTGCTAATCGCTTATATATCAATTCCCAAGAGAATAATTTAATCAGTCGCCTGCTCATCCCAACAAAAGCGTCATTAGCCAGAAGCAAAAGTGCTGCTTCATTATCCATCCCTGGAAAAAATATTCCAGCCATCAACAATCACATATTCCAGCATATAAATGTGCCCTCTCGTAGCTATGGTAGTGATGAATTGAAGACTACTATCACATTTCCCAAGTCAACAGTGAAAATGCCTCCTCACACAAAATTAGAAATGGCTCCCCAGGAGAAAATAGATACACCCCTCAAGGCAAGTGTGGCAGTACCTCCCAAGGTGAATGTGGAAGCATTCCCCAGGGCAAGCACAGAAGCACCCACCAAGGCAAGCATGGAAGCATCCCCTAAGGCCAAAGTGGAAGTGCCCCCTGAGGTGGGTGTGAAAGCATCCCCTGAGGCGAGCGTGGAAGTGACCCCCAAGGCGAGCATGCACTCCTCCCCCGAGATGAGCAAGGACTCATTCCCCCTTGGTGAGCGTGAATGTGTCTCCAGTGGTGAGTACAGATGAGTCCCTTGAGGTGAGCGTGGACATATCCCCCGAAGTGAGCCTGGAAATGCCCCCAGAGGAGAGCACGGAAGCATCCCCTGAGGTGATGATAGAAGTAAACCTTGAGGTGATGGTGGAAGCACCCCCCAAGGCATCCCCTGAGATTAGCATGGAAGCATCTCCCAAGGCGAAGAAATCAGAAATGGACAAACAGACCTCAAACTCTATTACCAAGAAGTGCCCATCATCGTACGTACCATGTTATAAATGGTCATTGTCTCCTGCAAGAGGGTATTGTCCACCTTCTCCTATTAGCACTTCTCCTTCTCCTATTTTCCAAAAGAACCGACCCCCGTCACCTTCACCAGTAGTTTCAAAACAATCACCACAGGCTTCTCTTTCCAATAAAATAATACCTGTTCAGCGTACCCCAATTGTGCAAAATACATTGGGTACCATCAAAAAAAAGAGAGAGGCAGTTTCTAAAACCACTAACAAATGTGAACCTTCGAGCCAAAGACATATGATCTATGAAGAGTCTGGTAATAAAAGCACACCAGGGACTATGAATGCCGAGGAGGCAACAAAAATTTTGACGGAAAGACGCCGCCTTGTTCGGGAACAAAGAGAAAAAGAAGAAGAAGAAAGTCTCCAGCAAGAAATGGAGCCAAGTGTCATTAGAGAAATGAAAGATGTGGCAGAGAAAGCAGTTGAAGGCCAAGCAGAAGAGTTCTCGAAACTTGAAGATAAGCAAGGACAAAAGGATACTAAAAAGAAGAAAGGATGTTAGGATCAAGAAGACCAAGAAGTACTGCTACAGAAAGGGCACACCAAAATAAAGGCTCAAGGGGAAGCTGACAAACGCAAGAAGGAACACGAGAGAATTATGTTACAAAATTTACAAGAAAGATTAGAAAGAAAAAAGAATTGAGGAAATTATGAAGCGGACGAGAAAAACAGATGTGAATGCCTCAAAGGCTGCACAAACATCTGGCAATGACACATACGAGGAGGATGAAGCTGACAATGAGGATGAGTCTGAAAGTGATGAGGACGCTCT